GTAGTTTAAGGGTTATAAGGAGACATACCCGGCCTAAGGTTATTGGGCTTTTATGGATTTCTGGAAAGATATAAATCTTTGGTGTTCTTGGTTGAATTGTATTGTAAAAAAATTTTCTTTTAATAATATTTTGAGTATTTTGCTCAATTTTTTTCTTGTGTGTTGGGTTAAGGTCAGTATTTGACAAAGTAAATATAGGCATATCATTCAGTATACTTACCATTAGGATGTCATACTGTTTGGTTGGTAAAATCATGATAGTTTTGTTTGTTGGCACAATGTTGTCATTGTTTTTAAGAAGTCATAGGCTTCTTATTTCCTTTCTGCTGATGTCAAATTTTGTTTATAGGCTTTTTGTTTAGAATTTAATTTTTTTTTCTACTAAGTACTTTAGGAAGTTTTTTAATAGACCTGCTTTTAGTTTTTTTATTTTTTGCCTTTCAGTTTTATTTTTAGAAAGGTTGGTATCCACTTTTTTGCGAGTGTTTAGAAGTGAACACAGAAATCAAAAGTATCAGAAAAAGCTCAAATAAAACTTAAAACTAACTATGAAGGATATATATATATATAGTAGAGATGACTGATGTGGGCACGAAAAACTTATTTAAAACATAAAACAAGTAACAATGTTTTGACCTACTTAGATCATCCTTAGTATAAGAATGAGACTTGAAAAAATGACCATTATTGATCACAAGCTGTGGAGATGACTAATGATCAGTGTAAGTTTGCATTGTAAATACTTAATCTATTACGTGATAGTTAACATTAAGGAATAAACTAAGATATAAAAGTGTGCTGGTTGAGTGTGGGTTTAAGTTCTTGTGTTAGAAAAGCTTCTTTAATTCTTTGTTTGTTTACTTTGGTTTTTTTGCTTAATATGTTAGTGTTTTCTATAGTTGTACTGTGGTTATTTGAGATACAATGTTCAATAAAATGGGAGGGTGATTTTTTTTGTGCTCTTTAAATCTGGTTTAGGCTTGTTTCTCCAATATAGGAATCATGGCTGTTGTATTTTATAAATGATGTTGTATTTATGCATGTCAGTAGTTTTTACATAACAGATTTTAATTTTTTTACCTGGTTTTTGAATGAATGTAGTGTTAGCTGGAATGTTTTTTTTCCAAATTTTAGTTATTTTGTTGCTGATATTGTGAATGTAAAGTATGTGTAGTGTTTTGTTGTTAGTTGTTTCATTGACTTTCAGATTGTGGGTTGGTTGTGATTTCTATGAATAATTCTTTCAATGGTTTTTGTAGGAAATTTATTCATGTTG